TGCTGCGTGCGAAGTTAAGCAGAGGATCAAATCCTAAAACTCGGACACCGAGGACACGTGTGTGCGAGTGCGCTCAGAGTCGAGCCTTGGCGAGCTCAAGGCAGCTCACTCCCCAGTAAGGCTGATTACAGGCTGGCTCCTGGCAGGGGGTGGGGCAGAGGAAGCGCTACGGATAATTCCTCCAGTTGTCCCACTGGCATGGCTGCTGGTCCTCCCCGGGGTGCCCAGGGAAGCCAACCCCAGAGTCCTCTGGAGGCTGAAGCCCGAGCCAGGCCCCGCTTCTCCGTCCCTCCGTGAGGCAAGTTGGAGCAGGCTGCCTGGCGGGGCAGGGCTGGCTCTGGCCGGCCTGGCCCTGGCGCGTCTCCCCACTCAGGTGTTCGCTACACCCCCTGGTACGCGTCACCTGCAACTCAGACATGCCTGCCCTGCTCCCCTTGGTCCCAGCCATTCACACGCATGTGGAGGATCGCTGGGCGCACAACCGAGTCAGGAGCCCACTCGTAGCGGCTCCACAGCCTGAGACGATGCCCCTCAGAAGCCCCCCCGTGTCCAGCTCTGCGGCCACCTCTGGACCCCCCTCCCCCCCAAAGTGGTTCCCTCTCACCCACTTTTAGCTGGTTTCCCAAGCAGAATATCATGGGGCATTTTATCAAAGGCTTTGCTGACATCAACCCTTGGCACACCCTGCAAAGAACATGCTTCACCTGTCAAATCCAGAACACATCCTAAGACTCCTGCCTCGTGCTTCTTTCCCAAGCCCGCAATGAGGGATCTCCCCGAGGCCCATTCCACCCTGAAATCCATGCAGGCCGAGCACCCAGGGTGTCCCAGCACCAGGGGGAGCAGGGCACTCCTGCATTCAGCAGGATTCCTGCAGCTCCTCCCAAAGCCCACACCTTCCTGAACTCCCTTCTGGGTGTGTTCTTTGATGGTTAGCACAATCCCCAAGCAGCTGACCCTCTTTTTGGACACTGGGACATTCTGTGATACCCCCTCCCGGTTTGAATGCTCTGAGGTCTCCTAAGGCTTTCCATGTCCCTGAGGGGCTTTGCACCCTGCAGGCATTTATGTGGCTTCTCGCAGGTGTGGCTCATTTCATGCCAAGGAGACACGGGCTCTGCCTGCCCTGCTCCTCCACAACTGATCTGTGCAGGCACAAACTCCCTTCTTCAGTGATGCTCGCAGCCACAGATCGCCTGCACTGCCCCGAACCCTTGTTGAAGCCATCGGAATGGGGGGCCATCACTGCATCCCAGGGCAGCAAACCTGCAGTTGACCTGTATGCTGAATGAAAAATATTTATTTATTGGTTGGTTTATTTTTTTCCTTGTAGGTCATGCTCCAGTGGGTGGGAGTGAGAACAGCTTGTGCCACATTTAATTAATGTAACGCCACACACAAGCTCCCTCACCCGCTCTCTGTATGAATGGTTTGGATGACCAAGTGCAGGCAATAATGATGAGTCTTGCAGCTGGCACAAAACTGGTTGGGACAGCTAATACCCTTGAGGACAGAAGGAAGAGTCCAGGTCATCCTGGACTCCAGTGGGGACAAATGCCAAGTTCTGCACCTGGGAAAAAGAAATCTGAGGCATTGATAAAAAAGACGGAATACTCGGGCCAACTAAACTGCAAGTGAGAAGCATCTTGGTAGCATCTCCCCCCAACCCCCGCTATGCTCGCCTCGCCCTGGAGCTGCGCAGGAGGGTTGCGCAGCTGCACTGGAGTCCTCGGTCACCGAGGCGGCGCAAGGGCCTCGCCCTGGAGATGCGCGCCCCCCTTTCGCTTGCTTGAACCCCCGTAGTGTTGCAGCAGGATCCCTCCCGCCCCTCTTGGGCCTCGCGGTGCGCAGCAACCCGGAGCAGCCGCGGGCTTTGTGGCGCTACCGCCGGAGGAAGCTGGGCCGGATGGGGGCTCGGGATGGTCCCGGAAGACGCAAGCCCGGAGCAAATCCCGGGATCCGCCTTTTCCTTTTCTCCGCGAGGAGGCGGCTCCAAGGGGGCGGGCAGAGGGCGGTCGTTTCCCGTGCTGTGCCCCGAGGGTCCGGGAGGAGCTTCTTAGGGGCAGGAAACGGGCGAGCGGAA